GACACATGCTCAAAGTGCGAGGATATCAAGGGCGGAAGCAGGACGGAGGCCAGCAGAAGCGACTGAGTGGGAGCGGAGGCGAGGGTGACCTCTTGGTCTCGTCAATGGAGAGTGGAGGCTCTGGAGGCTCGTCCCTGAAGACCGTCACGTCTTCCAAGTCGTCCAAGTCATCCCGCTCAACGGCCACGCTTGTCACCCGCAATGACAGTGGCAGCACGACAGATGCAAGCTCAACAACAACGACGACACCATCCACTGCAGCACAACACCTGACCCTTAGCCTGGGGTCAGGTCAGCTGTCGGAAGTTTTGCAGAAGCTCGCCCTTAACCAGTATCTGGAAGTTTTCCTTGAGCAGGAGGTGGACCTGGACGCCTTTCTGGAGCTCTCAGATGCTGACTTGCAGGACCTGGGGATCACCACTGCTGCAGCGAGGAGCAAGATCCTGCGAGCCATTGCCAGTCTCAAGGCCAAGGTCTGAACCTGGTCAAGAGGCAGTGACAAGTTCATTTATTGACTGAAATATTGGTGCTTTAATTATGTGATTATTTTATCATTAAACATATACAACAAGTGCCTTATGAATTATCAAGTAAACATATTGTTTTTTGACAGAGATACCTAGAATCAAAAAATATATATATATCTACACCAAAGCTTAGGAAGAGGTGGTTTGTTTCGTAAAAAAAACATATTTTTTCTTCCAGTGAATTCTTATTTTTGTACAGAAGTTTGTGTACAATATGAGTATAGGCAAGTATGTTCATATGTTTTATGAAATGGGGCACTAGTCATAATTATTAATTTATATTATAAGGAAAATAAACAGAAAATTAACTGTATGTAATTTGTAGGGAAGGTATGAATGAAAAGAAGTTTCACAGTGTAGCAATTTAATAATTTTATTTCAGTGTTACATGTAATATCAAAAGATGTCAATTGCATTTCTTGTATTCCAAAATTATTCTCTCCTATTCATACCTTTTCTTTGTCAGTTTGAAATCTGTGTGAAAGCATATGTGCACATTTGTGTCTGTGTTGAATGTGTTAGTGTGTTCATATCAGTTTGTGTTGTGTGCACAAGGTCAATATATAAGATAAATGAAACAATAAAGAAAAGAGTTATAATTATATCAGGGCATTAAAGAGAGTATATTATAACCATCTGTAATTACATACCTCCTTTTCCTCCCAGTGCTTACCATATTGTTTGAGTGACCACACCTACATTTCTTAATTCTGGCATTCCACAGAACCTAGATTTATTGAAAACTTTGGTTAATCTTTCTCTCTCTCTATTCATTTCACTCTCAGCCCCTCTATAAGTGGCTCTATATCTTCCTTTATGGCTAGTCTGTAGCAGGAACAAGGTCTTGCATCTAAAGAGCACAGAAAGAGATTTCATTGGATAATGTTAAAAAGGTAACCATGGTAAGGTGTTAAAGCATTTATTCAAACTGGCTGAGCTTCTCTTGCATGCCAGAAGTCAAACATTAATCCTACATATATAAAGAGCTACAACATTTATTTATTTGTCTTTTGCTATTATTATTATTTTTTACACATAGAAAACCAGATATCATTGACTCCATGTCACTTGTGCTTTCCCAGTCTGAGATTTGCTTGTTTTCTTAAAATTAAAAATATCAGGAATTAGGGCATTTCTCCTAGCTGTTTTTTTGAGGATCACTGGAGGCACTGCATTAGATAGCTAGTCTGGAGGGATAAATTATGTAATCTATATATTTCAGGGAAGGAGATCCGAGTTCTGATGTTGAAGTCATGGATTCACATGTTTAGGTTCAGACAATTTGTCATGAAGTCCATTTGTATGAATCTTACGTCATGGAGTATCAGTGTACCACAAGCTGAAAGGTAGAGATTCTGGACAGTTTAGGATCTCCATCCAAACTGAAGGGACTCAAGCTGGAATACGGAAGCCATGGCATCGTTGTTGTCGTGGGGGGGGGGGGGGGTAGGAGACTGAGGCCCTAAGTAGGGGATCATCCTGCCTTAGACCTCAGCCGTCGCCTCGACTGCTTTTGCAATGGTCTTTTCTTCTCCCTCTTTCCATTTCCTTCTCTTCTCCATCCCCTTCTGTCTATTTATCTTAATCGTTAACTCATTTATAGCCTTTTCGCCACAGCACTTTATCATAATGTTGCACTTAGGCGCTTCACCCCCCAGGCCCCACCCCATCGCTCTATTTTGAATACGCCGCTAATTGACCTCAGATGTTGCCGTGGCAGAATTTCAGTAAATAAATAAATGAGAGCGTTTGGGAGGGTCAAGTGTGTCCTCACTAAATAGAATTTTTGATGGGTAAAATGGCCAAGCTTTTCATTATTATTTACTTTGTGACGTCACCGGGTAAATAGTTAAATGACCGCCGACAGTGGACAGCGACGCGTCTGAAGATATTGCGGGAAATTCGCTTCCGCTTGCTTGCGACCGTTCCCGGTCAGTATATGGACGCGGTTAAAATCTATAATTATCTTTAATACGAGGCATTTATACCTTGATTTTGCTAGACGGGAGTTTGCAGTCTGGATTTTTTTTTTTTTTTTTTTTGGGGGGGGTACAGTTGAGGAGAGTTGTTCCTCATGGAAACTTTGCCGGTTACTGAGCAACCACGTATAACTCACTGCCTAGTTCTATAAGATTCCACGAAGTTTTGGGGGACAGAAAACAATAAAGATTCTCGCACAGAGAATCTCGAACCGGACAATGTAATAGTTACAGAAATCGGTG